ATAAATGTGTCAGGAGTGTTCATCGATTTATAAATAAATAAATACGTTCGATAATTAAAGCAGGAATGATGTCTGGCATTGATGCAAAAATCGAATATTTGTGTGTGAGAATGAATGTTCAACAGGTTTCAGGGATTAAAGCAAAACTTAGATTTGATTCACTGCCCTCTGCTGGAGGACAGATGTCAAAAGGTTAAACACAACCTGGTGAAATATACTCCAAACACAGAAACACTGCTCGCACTTCTTACCCAACACAACAACACGTGACTCTATGAACATCTGGCTCGTGTGATGCTCTCAAAAACGATGCACACAAATGATCGGGACACAAACAACACCTGGTGACAACTGCCACTTCTGCTGCAGTCCCTCCCTCCCTCCCTCCCCTCTGCTGTGAGCCTTCACTCTGCGCCCAGGCCACAGGGCGAGTATCAGGTGAGGTTTTAAATAGCGGGGCCTCCACGAGATGACCTCAGGGTCCCAGGGGTCTAACCCCCGTTGCCCCTGGCCTCTTCACTTATGTCCCCCAAAGAAAGCGCTCGGGGACTAGAGGCCTCCTCGCAGTCTGTAGCCTCAATCCATAGCCCCTTCGCCCCGGTCCAGGCCATAAATCTAAGAGACTATAAACTCATTTCAACTTGAATCCCTCACACATATCTCTGTATAGGTCAACTCAAGTCCAGAATGTAAACAAAAGACAATGTTCTGACTGCTGCAGGCCCCATCCTCTCTTTACGCTCCGCTGAAGCTACAGGCTAACCACAAACAGCTCTTCTCGCTAACAGGAACTCCCAGATGCAATCCTCAGCCCAGAGCTTGAGCTTTAAAAGCTACATCTCCAAAAGTTCCCCCCCCCCCCCCCCCGACCCCGCTGCCTGTACCTTCTCTAACCCGTCAACACAGCCCCGTAACCCCACTACACCTCCAGCCCTTCTCTCAGCACAGAGAGACGGAGAGAGCGTAGAGGGGTCGGCCTACAGGAAGGGCCAATGTTTAGGCGATACCGTTTTTAATTAGACGCAGACGGCGCCGCTATTTTCTTTACAATTTGGCCTATGTTTGCCTTTACCCAGAATGCCAGGGGATGGCTTCATTTTCCGTTTGTGGCCAGGGTGAACTCTGAGGTTTTTTTTTTGTGTCTTTTGTGTCTTCTCCGCTGAATGTGGTTTGGAGTTAAATACAGCTGGATCATCTAGAATTGTCTTCTGAAGATGGACCTGAAGTTCTGAACTTCGAGAAAAGCACACACAGAGCAGCAGCGCACGTTTTGTAAGGGGAAGATAGGAGCCCACAACACTACAACTTTCTGTTTGAGCTCATAATTTCCTGCGTGTGCCCATGTGGACATAAACAAGAAAGAGTGGATCTGGCCTAAATACGAGCCACCATCATTTATCAGGACTAAACTACAAGCTTAGCAAAAACTCAAAGCCCTCGTACATCCTCAGAGGTTTGACACGATCACCTCTTCGGGGGAGGCAAGTGCTCATTCCCCATTGTTCTCTGTCACTTTGTCTCATAAACAGAACTTCCTGTGTTTATAAACAGTGCTGAGTGAGCACTCTGTCAGAGGAGACAATCCCAGTGAAAACTTCCACAGCGGGTGGAAGAAACTAAGCATCTAAGCATCATCCACCCTTAAAGTATGAAAAAAAAAAAACAAACAGGTGACGACAAACACAACATGAGATCACAAAAAGCAAGAAAAGAAGCTCAAGTGAAATGCAAAGGAGCTGAGAGATCGAGCATGACCTATTGTGTGTGTGTGTGTGTGTGTGTGTGTGTGTGTGTGTGTGTGTGTGTGTGTGTGCGTCCACAGGCCACACAAGCTTCCAGGCGGGGTCGTCCATGGGTCGCCTGCGGAGGGCAGTTCCAAATGAAACATAAACAGAGAGTCTCTCTCTCTCTCTCTCTCTCTCTCTCTCTCTCTCTCTCTCTCTCTCTCTCTCTCTCTCTCTCTCTCTCTCTCTCTCTCTCTCTCTCTCTCTCTCTCTCTCTCTCTCTCTCTCTCATTGGGCCGGTCCCCCAGCACAGCCCAGCGCACGGTTCCGCGGTCCAGGCAGAACTAATCTATCCCTCAGCTGTGCGGGCTAATCTAAACAAACAGATCTCTCCCTATCAACATCTGGAACCCCTCATGTACCGGGACCTAGGAAACCACCACGGCCCGGGCTCTTTGTCAGAGTCTGTGTGCATGAACAGGTCTCTGTGTGTCTGTATGAGCCAGGTTCTTCAGCCTGTTCTCACAGTCACAAAACTCTGGGGTCCAACTTCAGTGCAAGAGAGAGGAGTAAAAGAAAGGTCAAGGTAACTCAAGGCTCAGAACAATTATCAAAAAAAAAAATTATGTGCAAGTGAAGGTTTGTAAATCCAGCAATGCCTTGGATAACTGTACGACTCTGATTCATGATTCAGACCACAAAGTCATTCAGAATAATGGCCAGCACTTGATCATGTTACCATGCTTGAGTCCTCTTCCTCTGACAAACAAAAAAGAGAATCCACCACAGGATCCTGATGCTTGAAAAGACGCAAACAGCCTTGTTTTGCTACACAATACCTTTAACCAAAAAAACATGTCAGCAAGAGGTTTACAATTTGATTACAAATGTGTAACAAATAGTGTTTTTCAAAGGCAAAAACTTTCAAAGTGCCAAATAGGGTTGTCACAATACCAGATGTCTTAAATTTCACACTATTCTTGTGGCAATCAAATGACACAGTACTGACACTTGTTTCAATACTGTGGCAAGAAGAAATACAAGTCTAGGCTGAAAATCAACGTTTTTTTTAAAGCTTCTGTACTTTTCAATACTAAACCATTCATTTAAAGAGCGGAGGTTGGATAGTTTCAAACCAAGTATAAAACTTGAGTGCCAGAGGGTAAATCCAGAGACGCTCCAACAGTAGCTGCAGTATACTTTAAAATACATCTAAATACACCTGTTCCAAAGGAGCATCCTTAAGACCAATATCATTCACAAGTTAGTGGAGGCCAAAGTGATGTTTTTTCCCCTCCTCCCTTCCCCCTCACCAACTATAGTCCATTTACAAGCTGGCAAAGATTTTTTTTTTTTCACTTTATTAGAGAGAATTACAATCACAACAGACAGCCAATTCATTTTAGTTCAAACTATTTCTTTCAGAGAGACATTCAGCACTCAATCCTGCCAACCAGGAGCGATACTGGCCATACTGTTCTTATATTTTTAGGGCCCCTATCAGTCCAGGACACTTAGAATCGTCTTAACTCTTCTCCCCTTTATGGCGTCCCTGGCACTAACTTAGAGGATGGACCTTTGGAGTGAGCATGTTAAAATGTTTGACTCATGTCGAGACCTCGTTTAAAACGATGCTACCGCCATTATTTTAATGTTAGGTAGTATGGAAAAGTGCAGAGGCGGTCCATATATTTAAGCACAAAGCTGCAGTTACTGAAAGAAAGAGAGAGAAGCAGTGGTCCAACACTTCGCTACCGAAACATTGCCAATGTATTTGTGAAATATAGACAGTGCAGAAGATTGCTTGCAACCTTTGGCAATTCAAATCATGAATGGTTGCCTGGAACTTATATTCTTGTTTGCCACGATATCGAAACAGGTACGGATTTTGATTTTTTCCAGTATTGGATTGCAGTTGAGAATGTTGGTATGGTGACAACTCTACAGTGAAGTCAGTAACGTCTCTTCAGACTCAAAGGGTGGCCCTCGTCCTCGTACACATGACCGTGGTGTGACATGGGAGAAAGGGTGTGAAAACAGTGTGTTCCTCTGACTATCAGGAGTCCTGTACTAAGAGAGGCTCCCCTCTGCTCCAAACCTGCTGCAGACTGCGCCTGCGTCACAGATTAGATGAAAAGGCGCTGTCTGTCAGACCCCTGCAGCCGCACGCACGCAAGGACACAACATCCAAGCAAAGGAGGAGGTGTGTGTGTGTGTGTGTGTGTGTGTGTGTGTGTGGATCAGTGTGCGTTAATGTGGGATCTCAGGGAGATGTTTATTTGGAATTTAATGGCAGAAAAATAGGGAAGCAAAAGAACTTTGCGTAATCACCATATTTTATCTTTATCTTTTAGGACAAGAAAAAAAAAATTGTTTTTAATTCCTCAGCGGTGAAATCGACTCCTCCATTCATGACTCCTACAGCCGACTCGAGCCCATAAGTGCAGGAATGCGGATCAAAGGAAAGAAAGAAAAAAAAAAAAAGCACAGCCCCTTCCCTTTGCCCCCCAAAGCACCACCCATACACACACAGTTCCCTTCTTTTCTTTTCTTTTTTTTTTCTCCTTTAAAATGTTCAGTCTTCATAAGTTATTTCTGACACACACACACACACACACACGCACACACACACACACACACACACACACACAAACAAGTGAGTGGCGTATCCACTCCACAAACACGAGTTCTTGTCCTCACTCCGCTTTTTCCCTGCAGCCAGAGACAAATCTTTCTGGAAAGTTGAGAGCTGTCCAAAACGGGACCACACACAGTCTCTGAGCATTCAACTGCTGGGGGCAGGCAGACACACACACTCACACACACTCTCACACACACACACACTCACACACACACACACACACTCACACACTCTCACAAAATGGCGGCTTTGACAAAAATTTCCTCTACCCCAAAAGCAGCTTATAAACTTAATTACAACCTTACTTCTGGGTTGCAGTTGCAGCCACCTCTTGCACTTCTTCTGAGTGCATCCAACACCGCTCAGATAATGTGAAAGAATGTTCGCAGGAATTAAAATTATTTACAAGTTTCCCTTGGCCTTTTGCCAGGAAGTAAACAATAAACAATCCCACAGGCTTGTTTGGTAGCATCTACCCCCCCCCCCTCCCACCCCCACAGCCACTTCTTTTTTTTCTCCAATAAACCAGCTCATCAAAAAAAAAAAACCCTCAAAAGTAATAATCACAGCATCTTGCATCCATACAAACACACACACACACAGAAAACAACCAATAACAAATCAGATTGTCTTACCTTCCACCCAGAGTTTCTCCACGTCCGTCTCCAGATTAGCTGCCCGTAAGCCCACAGCGAAAGCTCCAAAAATCATCAGCCCCACAACCAAAAACTTTCCGCAGTTCTTTTGTATGTAACAGCCCAGCCTGAATAAAAGTCTCTGGAACTTCGCTCTCAGCCACAGAGGTGCCTTCCTCCCCGTCGCCTTCCCCTATGAGGAAGACAAGAGTCCCGGTGTTACTGTGAGTTCCAAAAACACAAGCCAAGCTCAACTTACCTGGACAGGTGAAACTGCGGGGTGCACAAAGTAAAAAGGGTTAAAAAAATCATTATGCAAGGAAACAAGACATCAGGTTGTCACAAATGTGCATGTACAGGAGGTTTAACTTCCCTGATTTGACATAAGAAACCTCATCTGAGAGGAAAACATGAGCTATATTCCAACTAATAAACACATCCAGCATCTCACTCTGCCAAGATTTGATAAATGCAGTTTGCTGCGGACTGTGTGGAAACCACTGAGGACTCCCCAGAGTGAGCGCAAATGGGTTCCGTCATATCAGTATCATGTATAAACTGTAACCTTAGCAGGACACATGCAAAAGTCAGATATCTTCAACCCCTACCTACACACACACACACACACACACACAAACACAGAAACACACAGCCTCTCATTTCTCCGCTGCAGTGATGACTTTCGGAGGACAGATTTACTGACATCATGTGTCACTTTTGTTTTTGTTATTGTACTCCAAAAAAAAAATGCTCTGCAGCTGCACCTGCGGGCTGCATGCAGGTAAATAAAGGGGAGATAGTTGTCAAGCCACACTTATGCAGTGTAGGCAGCATTTTTTGATGGACATATGTGTGTCTCTATTCCACACAGACCCCCCAACCCCCCCTCTTTCCCAAAATATGACCACAAACATCTTGACACCCTGCTATTGGTGTGCGTGATAATATTGTAAAACAGCACACCTGTGAAATGACTTTAAAGTCTGATATGTGATCCACTCAACATTTTTCTTTATTTGTGAGGTGGTGTAATCTTGTAACATTAAACACTCTGACACTTCAAAAAGCTTTAAAAAAAAAAAAAAGCCACAGATTTTCCACCACACACACACACAGTCCCCTCTCCCCCGTGCAGCACCCCGTGTGTTCCGGGCCTGCGTTGGGGGGGGGGGGGGGGGGGGGGAGAGAGAGAGAGTGGAGTAGCCATCACGGGGGGACTCACAATATTTGTGAACGGAAGAGGGCAGCCACATGGATTCTTTTTTCTCCTCTCTTCTGCCTTTACGCGAGTCGCTCAGGTTCAGACGCTGTCATGCAAACCTTTAACTTTAACCACTAAAAAAAACGTTTTTGAACTGTGAGAGCGCAGCTGCGTAACGCTGTGTGTTAGGAACCCCCTCGGTGGCGGAGCAGAGTGGGAGTGAAAGCTGCATGTTTTGCCTCGTCTGAGACCGTTACAGGCTGGGATGTTGTATATGGGGAAGAAACGAGCGGTCGTGCTGGTGGAAAGAGTTTGTTTTACTCTGTGAAGAGAAGCCGGCTGCGCAATGAGAAACTTAACAGATGCACGATTTATAACAAGAAACCTTTTCGGCTTCCTTCAACCTTGCCTTACCCCCGTGTCCCCCCTTGCCCAGCCCCGTCCCGTTACCTAGCAGCGACGGGACATAGTTTGGCCACTATTTCGGCGAATACAATGAAAACCAAGACTAAAAGAGTTGTGTCCAGGCTAAGATGAGAAATAAGCACCTCTGTGATCTGCTGCAAAGCGAAGCCCGCATCGCAGTAACTCGGCCGCTGCAAATACTCCAAATCCAGCGGTGTGTTGCGGGTATAGTCCCCCCTGTTCCTCCGCGTTATCCTCGGCCGATCGGGGTCTCTGTTTTCCTGCTCGGAGGGCGCATTAGCAGCCGAGGCCATGTTGCGGGGACTGCGAGGTGGTAACCGTTTCCCACTTTATTGTATCTCCCCGATGGCGTGTAGCGATATCCCAAGGCAACAAAGTTTCACTCTCGGAGATCTCACACCCGTCAAGTAGGACTTCATACTCCTGTTGGAGACGGCGAGTCAAAGTCTGCGCCTTCCATCCCAACATTTCGTGATCCGGAGGTCTCCACCGCTCTCACCGCTTTCACCGTGTCCCGTCCCCAAAAAGTGTGTTTCTCTCAAAAGGCGAGCTGCGCAGAGAGATTCCCATACACGAGTCGTCGGGGGAGAAAGCTCGATGGTCGTAGCATTCTGCTGAGATCTATGTGGTCTTCCCATGGGCCGCGCGTCACGGCCAACTCTGAGATTCAATAGTAGAAGGAGAAAAAGACCTCTCTCCATTTGGAGGCAGAAAAGGAGGAGGGGTGAAGAATAAAAAAAAAAAAAAAAAAAATCTCGAGATCCCGCCTCTGGGGCTGTCAGATCGCAGGAGTTTCTTGCTTCTGATTGGTTCCAGAAGGGCAAAAATTACTCAGCAAAACACGACTATTATTAGCTGCTTAGCAACAGCTCACTAAAGTAGAGAGACCACCCAGGCAGAAAGACCTCATGTGTGCATCTCCAACTTCAGGGGAGGCTTCAGGACAGCCAAACCCGCATCGGTGCGTTTTTTTTGGTGATTTGGCTTTAGACAGCTCTGTCGCTGGGAAGAGAGATTTCCCTGACAAATCCCGAGGTCTGAGTTAAAGTACACGTTGTGCGCGACACACAGGGGACGAGGCATGTACAAAAATGAGGGTTTAAACTTTGATATGTTTGTCTCTAAACCACCACAGTGGCGGTTCTAGACCACTTTTACTGAGGGGGCCAAACTGGGGCCAGTTGTTTTGGCAGAGGGGAACATTAAACCCAGGTCAGAAATAGACAAAGATGATCGCTTTAAAATAAATATATATATTATGCCAAAGAATAGCACACATCGTTAAATACCATGATTTATATTTGTTTCAGTAACAGAATTTAATACTAGATTGTGAGTCCAGTTGTTGAGTCAAATACTAAGTATGTGTTATGAGGGGGGCTCTTCCTTTTGGAGGGGGAGGAGGGGGGGGCAAGCTCAGTGTTACAGGGGCACTGGCCCCTGTTGGCCCCTGCCTAGAACCGCCCATGCGACCACCATGATGGTGGTAGTGGAGCCTCAGATTACAGCGGTTCAAGGGGAGGTGCTACAGAGAAGTGTGACATTGTTACAGGCTTCTTAACTATTGTAGGTTAGTCTTAAGAGTGTGACATTTAATATACAGTAGCCCACTTCAATGGCACGGTATTCTTTAGTAGGCTGTTTTTAAGAAGTAATATTTGAAAAACCTTAAATATTAAAAATTTAAATTAGGACAAAGGTCCAACATAGGCCTACGATTAACATCTAAACTGTTGTTTTGTGTAGCATAGCCTACATCGCTAGAAAAACCCAACAACAGCATACAAAATATCTTGTAAGGAAATAACTAGGCCTATTAAATACGTTACCTACCTTAATGAATATTAAATCACATGCTATTACGCACAGTGGCCTATCACAACAATGCTTTTGTCTGTAGGCAATTTTATTTCACAAGCTGCATAAAATGCCCTTATGTTCTCACTAAAGCTCGCATTGGACATCCTTTAAAACATCCCTTAATTTAACCCACAATAGAATGTCTTTCATGGATTCATGGATCTTTTCTTAAATGCTAAGAATGAACCAACACACACACACACACACACACACACACACACACACGCACACGCACACGTACACACACGCACGCACACGCACACCTGAGCCATTCCGGCTCAGCAGCGGCTCGTCTGGCTGCCAGTCGCGCACTCACCATCTTCAGTCCAGGTGGCGGGGGAACAAATCCGAGATATCCGCCTCCCGTGGATTTGAAACGTGTCAGTTTTGATGAAGATAAAAAGAACTGGTTTACTGTCGCAAGGAGATCCGTCTTGGCCGCTGGCATCCTGCGTCGGGAAGGGGCAAACTCACAATTACATGTTTCTTTTTTTTGACCTCCTGGATGGTCCTTAGGCAGGACCCTTTGACAGTCACGTGATAAGCACAACATTTTAAACAGTACCAACTGAAGGCACAGCAGCACTCATAGTCAGACGTGCATTCTGTAAAAGGCTACATTTGTATATGCACAGATGCACATATACTGTACATTTGTATAAATGAATGTGTGCAGACATTAGACACACAAACATACAATATGCACTTGCAAATTTGCATGTCACAGAATGTTAATATTGTAAGCAGGTATATGCAAACAAGTGAAGGGAGGTAGGCAGAGGTGCATGCTGTAATAGGCTTCATTTGTAAAGAAACACGCACATGCATTTGTACATGCAGAGGTACACATATACATTTGTGCACTAATGAGAGTGTGTTAACATTAAACACACAAAACTCCAAATATACACTTTAAATGGCATGCTTCAGAATGGACACATTTTACTATAGGCCTACAAAACATAATGTTATTTCTGTAAGCAGGTATGTGCATACAAGTTGCACATATCAGACAGCACGCACACATTGGGACACACATTCACATTAAAGCAAACACCAATAGAATAAAACAGAATGAAGCCTTTATTGGCATTGTACAATGGAATTTGCTGGGATTTTCTCAAACAAAGAACAGCATTCATCACAGTTATCCACACACATCCCAGTCCATGCCTAATGTTATAAAAATGTATGATAATAAAAAGATGTACATTAAGATTAAGAAAACCAAGTGCCTTCATTGTAGTCTTGGGTAAGTGTTGCACCTGATACACTTGCACATTGAATGTTATGCATCAGAAGAAATATTTCACAATGAAATGCTACAATTAATATTATTTCATATGAAATGCTATTGCAGCAAAAATGTGTTTTTAATGCTGCATGATTTTGTGTACACTAATTATTATTTCACAATGGCAAAAATAGTGCACAGTCAATTCTGAACAACATGGCACATTCAATGTAAATGCAATGTAGCCTATATCATTGTTCACATTAAATGTTATGCACCATGCTCATGCTGTCAATTGTAAGTCCCAAAGTGTTCAATTATCAATGTTCAGTGTTGCTGTTGGTGTTTAGGGCTGTGTTCCTCTTGAGTTCATTACAGTGCTGGCTCTTGAGTAGCTCTTAATAAACCCCAACAAACAGGTTAACAGATTATATATTCGCTTTTATAACTCACTGACTACTATTAATATAAAATTTAGACCACCGTCACCATCTTTTTTTTTTTTTCAAACATCTATAACTTTGTGACTGTTGAAACAGCTCAGATTATGTGATTGGTTTGACCCCATCTTGTAAAAAAAATGAGGAAATAAAAGGTGTTAAGATAAAATGATGTCCCGTAAATGCTAAGGTTTCATTAATTAAAGTTACACAACGCATATTTCAACCAGCATCAGATATCCCAGATTTGGTTGAGTGTGAAGACATCTATAAGGTGTCATAAAGTTATACTGTGATGCCCCCTAATGCCCCTTGAATAAAACCAGGGTTGTCTCAGTGAAACGTGCCTTTATCGCAAACATAAACTAAGAACTGTTTTCACCATATCTGTGCCCGACATGTCCAGGCTGTTGTCATAATGCGCTGTCGGACTCCATCAGAGTGCCGCAGGTCATTGTGGAAAACGGGCCTATCCTTTGAATACTGTAGTGTAGAGGCTGTAAAGATATGCCAGTAAAAAATGCTCTCAGAGATTATATTGCAAGCATCTGTGTGAACTAATGAAATACGTATGCACATTAGATGCCAAAAACACCCTTGACCAAACATGAGCATATTTCCTTTTTTTTCTATCATGTGTTAATATGGATCAGATGGACTAATTGTTCTCTTTAGGAATTACCATACACCAAGGATGGAGACATGTATTCCAAATCAGCTTCGTTTAATTTAGTCACCGCAGGCAATCTCTGACTTTTGTTACTGTCTATAAAGTTTCAGTGATACTAAAGCTGAACAGCATTACAGTTACTGGTGTACTGGTGAAAATAATCTTGAATTATCTACAGAACAGAATAAGTCATTTACTCGTCTGTAGTATTTCCAAACTTTGGTCTATTACTATTTGTAATCAATATATGTAGCTATTGATTGTCGTTTACTCCAAAGCTTTTTGTCTTGGGCATCAGTCCTGCAACAAATTCATTAACCAATCTCCCGCTCTGACCCTTGGCAGGGCCTTCACACCCCTGCAGGCTTTTCTCTGGATAGCGGCCATGGGAAAAAGCAGAAAACTCTTGTTATTTATGATTTGCAGGTGGATTAGAGTTCAAAGCAGAAGTGTGCCAACACATTTATATCTTTCGATTCCTTCTTAGCAGGCTCATTGTTTGACACATTTAAAGATTTCTAATCAATTTGAAAGACATTATCCAATTTGAGCTTTTGTTTCTCATTTAAAAAATGTGTTAAAACAACTACATGATGAGTCACTGCCTGCTTTGGAAGTTATCAGTGAAAATGATGGGGCTGTTGTGTTGCCAGCAAACATAATAGAGGAGTGGTGCAGCATGATTTGGCAGGCGTTGATATATTCAAAGACACCCTCAGCTCTCAGTGAAGTGCATCGGGAAAAGAGAGGAAAAGGTTGTTGTTCTATTAAACAGCCGATAAAGAGTGAAAGAATGAAGAAAAATAACAATTGACAAAACAGGCGTTGAAAATCATTCTTAAAGCTCCTGTGTGGAACTTTCAGTGTGTTTTGTTTCGACGCCCCCCTGTGGACAAAGTGGTACTTCTTATCTCTTTGATCTTTCTTGTACATGCCTAGTGAGTGAAAAATCATCATCCTGTTGTCTTTTAACAGTCAAATGTATAACTCAATTAAAATACTTGCTGTGGGAAATATAAAGAAAAGGCTGTTTCTTCAGGATGCTTTAAATCATCTGGGATGACACCTACCCCTTAGCAGTCGCTACTGTAAAACTGACAACTTTTAGCTACTCTCGTAAAATTAGCGAGCAATAAAATTAGCACGCAAGCAAGCCAGATTTAGCCAGATCTAGATTTAGTGATTGTTGCTAGCTCTTGAAGAATTTAACAAATTTATAGCTAATCAATTCTACAGCTGGTTCAGCCCAGAGAGTCTGGAAGAGCTAGCACAGGTTATCTACTCAAGACAGTGTTTTGCTAGGTTATGAAGCTAGTGATTAAACTTGCTATGCTAAGTGACGCGGTCAGAGAGTCTAATCATGAACTAAATTAGTAAATCTAACCTGCTAATTAGGCACACATGTAAAATACAATGACAATTTTAAAACCCCAGACACTCAGACTTCCTGGGAAGTATGTTAATACACATGATAGC